GCCTTTGGTCTGCCATAGGCTCTGGTCATTGATGGGCCTAGATCTGCACCCAGACCTCTGCTCCTTGCTGATTGATGATGTGATCTACCATGAGGCAGCTGTGAGGCAGGCCGGGGCTGAAGCCCTCTCCCAAGCTGTGGCACGTTACCAGCAGCAGGCGGCGGAGGTTATGGGCCGGCTCATGGAGATTTACCAGGAGAAGCTTTATGTGAGTGAGCTGTGTAGTCCTGATGTGGTCAGGGTGAGGTCAAGTTGGGCTCTGCTTATCCCCTAGCTACCCCAGACAGTAGTCTCAGGGCTTTCAGGCTCAGGGTGGCTGTGACTGTTTCCCTCCTCACAGTCCTGGTGCCTGGGTTGTTGGTCTACCATTATAGTGTGTTTGCCAACTTGTCTGTTGCAGCGGCCTCCCCCAGTGCTGGATACTTTGGGACGAGTTATTTCAGAATCTCCTCCAGATCAATGGGAAGCCAGGTATGACAACTGTCCCAATCTTGGTCCACTCTGAGTTGTCTGAGATGTACAGCAGGTGGGCTGGGAAGGGTGTTATGAAGAGGCAGCGGAGGTACAGTGGAGGGAAAGACCAAGACCTCCTTCAGAGTCAAGAGAGCCCAAAGTTTATGTGTTGGCTCCTAGGGTTAGTGTTGCTGTGCCAGGCATGTGACCTTGGGTGTGTTTCTCTCTGTCTTCAGGCCTCTGTTTCCTCATCTGTAGGAAAGGCACAATCACAGAACCTACCTACTTACTAGCCTTTCCCCACAAGTAGCAGTTGGAGACCTAGGCAGATGTTTGGGAGCCAGTATGACCTTGGAAGACACTTACCTTCCATAGAAGTGGCACAAAACACATGGGGGTGTTAGTCTTCTGAATAGCTGGCCCTGGCATTCTCTACTTTTCTATAGCCTTGTGCATCAGTATGCAGTGGTATATGGGGCTGTTCCAATTTATTTATTTGTTTTTTTTGTTTTTTGAAATAGGGTCTTACTCTATTCCCCAGGTTAGAGGGCAGTGCTGTCATCATGGCTCACTGCAGCCTCCAACTCCTGGGCTCAAGCTATCCTCCTGCCTCAGCCTCCCAAGTAGCTGGGTCTATAGGCATGTACCACTATACCCTGCTAATTTTTTAATTTTTTGTAGAGATGGGGGGGTCTTACTGTTGCCCAGACTTATCTCAAACTCCTGGGCTTAATTAAGATCCTCCTGCCTCAGCCTCCCAAAGTGTTAAGATTACAGTTGAAAGCCACCATGCTAAGCCTGTTTTTATTCTAGACCATCAGCCAAGGATAGGACATAGATTCTTTGCCTTTGAGACCTTTTTATTGTTCTGTAGCTAAAAAGAATACCACTTTGCCTTTGTAGAGTATGTTCACTATCAAATGCTTTAACATCTGATTCCTTTGCCTCTTTTTCCTCTTATAACCTGCTTTGGAGGTAGAGGGGTAAACATTGCACTCACATTTCCCTCTGAAGAAACTGAGGTCCCTTGCTTAGGACTACCCTGTGGAAGGTAAACTCAGGGAAGATGGCACATTTCTGTTTAACAAGTAGATTATTCTAGAGCACTGAGTAGACCTTTGAGCACTAGATGTTGATCTTCTTGTTGTGCTCAATCCCTGAAGTGGTGTTTGCTGTGGGCAGGCTCATTCTCATTGATGTGCACCACATGGGTTCTATCCACAGGGGAGGTCCCTGGCTATCCCTGCACCTGATGTGCACCCACTTCTTTCCCAGGTGTGGCTTGGCCCTGGCCCTGAACAAGCTCTCCCAGTATTTGGACAGCTCTCAGGTGAAGCCACTTTTTCAGTTTTTTGTCCCTGATGCCCTCAATGACCGACACCCAGACGTCCGGAAGTACATGTTAGATGCAGCCCTTGCAACACTCAATACCCATGGGAAGGTAAGAGCATCTCAGTCTCAGCCAACTGAGGGAACAGGGCCAAGGGAGGAGGTAAGGCTGCTTAGTGGAGAGAGAGGCTGAGGCTGAGTGCTAGGAATCCTAGTAGGACACTAGCTCCAGTTGAAAATGACACTTGTATTTCTTTTGAGCCAAAAAAGACCCCAGTAGGATGGTAAATTCTTAAGCCTGCTGCAGTCTTGCCTGAAAATTAAGAGACCTGCTAGCATTGCTGGCTAGTTTGTTGGGGTGTCTGTGATGCCTGTTTCAGAGCCAAACTTGGGACCCTATAGACATAGCCTGGAGGGTTGATCTAAGGTTTGGCTTTCCAGGAGAATGTCAACTCCCTGCTGCCAGTATTTGAGGAGTTCCTGAAGAATGCACCCAACGATGCCAGCTATGATGCTGTGCGGCAGAGTGTGGTGGTCCTGATGGGTTCTCTGGCCAAGCACCTGGACAAGAGTGATCCCAAAGTGAAGCCCATTGTTGCCAAGCTCATTGCTGCTCTCTCCACTCCCTCCCAGCAGGTACCATCATCTGACCTGGGGCCCACAAGCCAGTGGGA